AATGTCGAATTAAATTAACTTTTGTATTAAAATCGCTTTTTATGAAATGCTTTATTTTTATATATACCACAAAAACAACACAAAAAAGAGAGAGAGAGAGAGAGAGAGAGAGCACCTGATGGTCGACAAGTAGTGACAGATCCGTAAACAAGTCGTGCACTTCTCGGATACTTTTCTCGAGTTTAACGATATCTCGATGTCGGGCCTCAATGTCCCGCAAGTCATCCATCGCTTGCTGAGTGTCAGTCACTATACCCTGGATGAGGACCTGTAGGCAACCCCTATCTATCAGTTTATCCACTTCCTCGTCGGACATGTATTGGCCCGTTATCTCAGCCCAACGCTTAAACAGCTCCCGATATCTGCGGCTATAATCCGATTGAATGGCATTGTATTGAGTCATACACTCGATAAACATATGTAATAACATCGAGTGCTGTGTTTTGCGGATCCGGATGTCGGCGCTCATACCCGGGTCCGACTCCCTGTCCTCCAAATCACGTATTTTTTGCTCCATAGCTAAACACAGAAAAAATTATTTTTAAGCATAACCTACAACTGGATACTTTAAAATAGTTGGGATATTTAGCCAAAATATTCTGTAACAGATAAATAACATAATTTATAACTATGAATAAAAGTATTCGTGATCAATATAATTAATTATATAAATATTACTAGTCTATTGCCTAGTTTAATAATTAAAATTTAGTTTGAAATTCAAACTTTGAATTAGTCTTTCCAATTGAGGCTAAGCCATACTCCCGAGTATTCGTGATCAATATAATTAATTATATAAATATTACTAGTCTATTGCCTAGTTTAATAATTAAAATTTAGTTTGAAATTCAAACTTTGAATTAGTCTTTCCAATTGAGGCTAAGCCATACTCCCGTCCCTCCCGACAAATTTTTATGACTCCCGTCCCTCCCGACTCCCGTCCTAAAGCTGATCGGGACTCCCGTCAACTCCCGACGGGACCCGACTACTCCCGAATACTCCCGACAGGTAACAAAATGCTAAAATAAAATCTATTTTTTGTTTTTTAGACTCATTTCCAATACTTTGGTTTGAATGTACGGCTTAACCTAATATTTAAATGATACTGTTTATTTAAAAGTTAATAGATTTGAAAATTTTATCTATAAGATATGAGCAAAACATACATAAAACAGTGAATCGGGAGTGATCGGGAGTGTTCACTCCCGAATCACATGTAACGGGACTCCCGTTCACTCCCGATCCTGATTTTAACACTCCCGTCCCTCCCGAAAACTCCCAATTTTTCGGGTCCCGATTGGAAAGACTACTTTGAATCACAATATAAATAGTAATTTTGTATTTTAAAAATATTTGACAAAAATATTCACAACATATACTAAAAACAGGAAAACATAACAATAACCTTAAATCAAAGCATTAATAATTTACAGCCAGGCCAAAAAATACCTTTCAATTTATGTCGGACGCCATTGGCGGCGCGTTTGATGTCTGCCACCAAGCAATCCAAGCTTTGTCTCACACCTGTGTCCAGACATACAGACAATTATCATAAGGATATGGCAGTGATTGACAGGACATAAGCCATACTCTCATGAGTTTGCGGTGCGTTTAGTATCTTCTCGTGGATGGCATTCACTTCCTCCACATCCGTACGAATGGATTCAATGTCTTCGCGGATGAGTTCCACCTCTTC